AATACAGAACAACACACTTAAGATCTTCCTAAACAGAGAAGAGTCCCTTGTCCCCAGCAGAGCAATGCAGGAGAAAGCATCAGGCCCCTGGCTTCTGCTCAGTTCATGTGGAGGTGGAGAGATCCCCTGATGTTGCAATCCTTCTGAGTAGCTTCAAGCCACGAAAGCAATATTTCCACAGAGCTGGCATGAAGAAGGAAATACCATATTACCCCCAAAAAGGCAGTCTTTCAACACCGCACTGCAGGCAAGAGAGGGGAGAGGGACATCAGGCCTGGTCAGAGCAGAAACCCTCCCACCCCACGGGAGGCCATGGCTGCTGCAGGAGCTGGTGCCAGGATTTCCACTGGCATCGGCATGGCTGTGCTGTGTCTCACACCACGGTGGTACATGGGGGGTCTCCCCTCTTTGGAAAAGTGTCTTGCAAAGGCCCTCATGGGCACAGGCAGGAGGTGGGGAGCAGGAGGATGCTGCTGTTCAGCTGGTTTACCTTTGCCAGAGCCCAGGACCAGGCTCTGGATCTGGAAGAGGATGAGCATGTGCCTCTTTGCAGCAGCCCTGCTTCCTCCCCCATCCCATTCCTCCCTCACATGGCAGCAGGAACGGGGGGCACACGATGCCAGCCACCCAGCCAGCTCCTTCCCCTGGCAGGCACGGCCAGGTCTTGGCCTCAGCCCTGCGCTCTGGGGCAGCAGGGAGCTCCCCCCTCCACCAGCCTGTGTTGGCCAGCACGACTGCCACCTCTCCACGGTGTCACTTCCCGCTTCTCCAACCAACTTGTTTGCACATGATTGCTGGCAGTCCAAGAAGGGAGCTTACCAGAAGCAGCTTTTTTTCACTGCCTTCTCAGAAAGGCTGCTTATCTGTCTCCTTAGGGCAGCGAGCCACGTGCCTTCTGCTGGTGGCTATGGGACCAGTTTGGCATGAGCTTACCATTAATCAGTGACAGTGGGTGGAGGGGTCCAGAAAGCCTCTGTCCTGTGGTGCTGCTGGGGCTGACCCTTACTGATGCTACCAGGGTTTTGGGGGAGGGCTGGCACTGTTTGGCCTCTGCCCTTTTGGATCCTACCTCCAGCAGTGTCCCCACAAGAGATGATGGCACCCGCGGGACAGTTCCAAAGGGCCGGAGTGGTGCTGTGCCCTGACAGACGTCCCCGTGCTGGGCTACCATCACCTCCCGGTCCAAGCTGAGCCCTCCTGTCCCACCAGCTTCCAGAGCCCTGCCAGCCGCTCACAGAAGCAGGACAGCACAGCCCTGCACCCGCAGGCCCTACAGACCAGAGCTGTCAGCCCCTGAACCTGCTTGGAGCACCCCGCTTCTTTATGCAGCTCCTTGCACCAAGCCACAGCGCTGCACCAGGCTCACAGCCCATACCCAGGGAGGCACACGAGCTGCAGGAAAAATCCAGGAGCCTGTAGAGCTTAGGGCAGGTGACAAGCCTTTACATGAACAACAAACACAGCTCAGCAGGAAAATAAACTCTACCAGGCGTGTCTCCGCGCAGCCTCTTAACCCTTTCAAGGCTTTCTGGCTCAGCTGGCTGACCAGAGTCACCGGGCTGCTTTTACAGCTCTTCCACCCCAGCCTTGCTGAACCTCACCTGATAAGAGCAGGGCAACTCCCTGTCCTCTGCTTTTGCCTAGAGCCTCCATGCTCTCCCTGTCTTTCAGCTAATTGATGTGCTCCCTCATCATTAAGCTCCCTCAGCTTATTTAGAGGACCAGAGTCAGCTTGCTCCTTGGGGAACATGCTTTTGTCTTTGCCAAACTCTCTTTCTGGGACCATCACACTTCCTTCACCACTCCCTGCTTGGTGCAAGAGTTCTTCTGGCTCCTTACTGTGGTCCATGTGCAGTGAGTGTTCAATTACAGTGCAGCTGACTTGTCACCTAGAAGAGCAACAGGTTACAGATGGTGGCTGTTACTGGGGACAGTGCCCAGCTGGTGTTGGCTGGGGATAGCTAAAAAGCTGGGGCTGGAGCTGGGGCTGGGACAAGGGATTTTCCAGCTCTGGGCCATCATTCTCATGTTAACACTAGGCATGCAGCAGGAGAGAGGGGGAGAGTGAAAGAAAAGATTAACGAGGCATGTCTGGGATTCAAAATGCTGTTTGGGGAATAATTCCTCACCCTGAGACAGAGCTAATTGCATCATGTGCTGAAAGTGGGGCTTGTGACTAATAGTGTTCATGCTTGTACCTGTGTGACAAAAAGAAAGTCTGCTGCAAGGGCTGACTTGCCTGTGCCCCTTCTTGCTGAGCCGGGCTGCAGCCCAGAGCTGTCCCAGCTCCATGTCCAGCGTGCACCTTCAGGCACCTTGGGTTCGCTCAGCTGGCAAGGCTCTGGAGGAGAGGTGACATTTAGGCAGCAACCCCCCCAGGACACCAAGATCTCTGACAGTGGGACAAGCTCTTGAGCAAAGGTGAAGCACTGCCAGCAGTGAACACCTCTGCAAGGCTTCCTCCTGGTGGTGCCACCAGCCTGTGAGCCCCTCGCCACCACCTGATGGCTGACATAAAACCCCCGATGCCCACAGCTCCTGGCTTGTGCCCAGGGCTCCTGGCTGGCTGCAACCCCTCAGCCTTGCTGGCCTGAAGGTGACACGGGCCACAGCTGCCTTGTGCTCTCTCCTGCTCCTTGAAAGGGTCCTGCTCGCACCCAGGGGCACAAACAGCACTCTGCCCCAGGTCTGCAGGCCACCGAATTTCCCCGAGTTGGAAGGGCCTTTGCCTCTTGCTGCAGTGGACAATGCCATCATGTGGCTGTTGCGACTTTGCTGAAACACAACACGCTGCCTCTTCCTGCCGTGCCACCGGGAGATCCCCTAACTGGGTGCCAGTAGCAGCACCAGGGCTGCCAAGCACTGACCTCACTTGCGGGTCCCGCATCCCACCACAGCTGCATCCACCCACAAATCCCACGGATCACGAGGCCGTGATTTCAGTGCTGTTGTATCATTTCCTGCTTACTGCGGTGCAGGAAAAACATCCTGCCTTGGTGCTACAAACAGCTCCATGCAGCCCACTCTGAGGCGGCTGGGACTTTCACTGCGGAACAATGGGCTGACCAAAAAATAACTTTTCCTCTTGGCTCTGTTCCTCTGGAAGTAGTTTTTCCCCTTTCTGCTCCCCCATTCCCTTTTCCCTGTACTGGCTACTTTCCCAACTTTCTTTCTCAGTATCGTGCACAAGTGGCTAAGAACAATTCTTCTGGGACATTGGGACATTTGTCTGATTGGCAGGCAAAGTAGGAAGCTGAAGGCAAACTCAGTACAATGTTTGCCAACTCAAGTATTCCAAACATTTTTATTTTTTTCCCCCCTGGGGAAGTGCTGGTCCCAAAAGTCCCAAAGTTACAAAAACAGCTCCAGAAGGGAGTTGCAACCAAGACCATGGACCACCCTCCCACCGCAGCACAGGCTGGTGGCATGTGGTATTATTCAAGATGCCCTGCCACCTCCTCCAGTACCACAGAAGTCCTCACTTCTCCAAAACACACCACATCACACTTAGTACAAAACCACTATTAAATGTACTCGGATCCTCTGACTAAACAAAACACCCTAAAATAAACCAGGCCAAGGTGTGCTGTGAGGCCAGGCGGCGGTACCCGACGGCGGCACCGCGTGAGGTACCAAGTCGTGCTTGCAACCATTGCATGGAGCAGGCCGCGGCCCTCCATGGTTTTCCCCTCACAGCCCTCGGGGCAGCAGAACAAAGGCGCCGAGCAGTCCTGTCAGCGCCCTGAGGCGGCCCCGCGAGGCCCTGGGCTGGGACTTCCACCGGGTGTTTTTGTCTGGAGGTGGAAGTGGTCTGGGCAGGTCAGCTCATGAGCCAGATTTAGCCTTAGCAAAACAGAGCGCATTGTCTCAGTACCGAAACCGCTGCCTTTGATAGTGACCTTTTGGGGGAAGGAGGGGGGGGAGGCTGTTTGTGAGGTTTAACCACTTCGAGGGCAGCCGCAGCAGTGTGACGCCTTCGGGAGCACGTAATTGATTGCCCTGCCTTTCGCAGACACCATGCAAAACCCCACGGGAGACACAAGCGGTGGCGAGGGAATTACGAACACGTTCCCTTGCCGTGAAGTGGTTTCGGAGCAGGAGGGCAGCCCTGTGGGTGGCAGCTCTTTCGGCTGCCGACAGCCCCAGCAGCCGGGCAGGGCTGGAGGGGAGCTGTGGCGCTCCCCACACCCTCAGCCCTCGCCCAGGGGGTCGGTGGCGACCTGAGGGGCCGAAAGGCTGAAGGGGAAGGAAGCAGGGCGGGCTCCATGTTGTGTAGCACAGGGCGGGCAGCCGCACCCAGCGCTGTCAGGATGGCCGAGCGGTCTAAGGCGCTGCGTTCAGGTCGCAGTCTCCCCTGGAGGCGTGGGTTCGAATCCCACTTCTGACAACTCGCGGATCTTTTGTGCGCGCCCTCCGTTTCTTTTATGTTATTTTTTTTTGCCGTTGTTGTTTTACGATCGTTTCGCAGCTCTCTCCGCAGCGCCAAAAGGCAGGAGGTGCCCCCCCGCAGCAAAACGCGAAGCTGTCAGAAGTGGGATTCGAACCCACGCCTCCAGGGGAGACTGCGACCTGAACGCAGCGCCTTAGACCGCTCGGCCATCCTGACCCGCTGCTGCAGCGCTCCCTGCAGCCCCTTTAGTGCCACGCCCCGGAGCCCCGACGGGGACCCCGTCCCTGTCCCCAGGAGCAGTGCCAAGAACCAGCGATGAGCTGTGTACCCCAGGGATTGATACTGGGTCCGGTCCCGCTTGGGGTCTGCATTAATGAAAATCTGACAGAGGTGGGAGGAGTGCCTGAGGCACCCGAGGGTCATGGTGCCATCCAGAGGGTCCTGGGCAGGCTGCAGACAAAATCTGCCTCCTGCAGCTCAACAAGGGCAAGAACCAGGTCTCCAGACACCGTCCGCAGCGACAAGGAGATTGTAACCCCGCTCCCCTCCGTGGGGCTGTACCGGGGGCAGCCCCGGGAGCCCCCGCCCCGACGGGGCGGGCCGGGCCCGTGCCCTGGAGAGCCGGAGCGTGGGGGGGGGGAGGCTTCCCCCGGGACCTCCTCCCCTCAGCCGGCGCTGGGGGCGGCCCGAGCCGTGCCGAGCCGTGCCGGTGCCGGTGCCCGCAGCATGGCCGGGCTGCCCGGCACCGTGCGGCCCCGCAGCGGCTCCCCCGGAGCCTCCGCCGCGCTGCCCGCCCCGCGCCTCGCCGCCCTCGACGGCGCCTTCGTCTGCTCGCCGCTCGGGGGGCTGATGGGCGCCCAGGCCGTGAGTACCGGGGTACCGGGAGGAGGGAAGGGGGGGCTCGGTCGTGGACCCCTCGGGTGCTGCCCGCTCCTTGCGGCCTCGCTGCTGTGCCCGCACTTTCTGTCGGCGAGGAAATGGGTTCGCGGGGCTTTCTGAGGGAGCTGCCGTCTGCCAAATCTTTCTGAATGCTGGTGCAGGCAACCTGAGCGACCTGCGTCCTTGGAATGGGTTTCCTTCCCCTACAGGCTGATAGGCAGGGTTTGGGGAGCTGATAGCAGCTGATAGTCCTACCCCGTACTCAGTGGCGTTGCCCTGGCTGAAAGCAGACTGGATTTCCCTTTGCCCTTCCCCGTCCTTGCTTTCTGATGAATCCCGAACCCCGAGATGCCGCAGCCTCACTCCCTCTCCCCTTCTCCCCTCTCCAAAGCTGAAGGAAGCTGCTTCTGCTTGTCCTCACGGCCTGGGCTCAACGCCCGGCAGCTCTCGGTGCCGGGCACAGGACGATGCAAGCAGCCCCGTGGGGCACAAGCCGATGGACCCGCAGTCCCCGTCAGGGCCTGGGCTATGGGACAGCACCGTGCCGGTGGGCGAGCTGCGTGATGCGTGCCCCTCTGCCTGCTGCCCCACCGGCGGGCACCGTGGGGCTGAGCTGCAGGATCCCAGCCCACTGGGAAGGGTCAGGGAAGAGCCTTGCAAGGGGAGGCTCTTTGTTTTTTGTTTTTTCCTATCCAAGTTTCTCCTGAAGGCCTGTTTTGCGATCACGAGTGTTAGAAACCAACATGAAAGAAAGGCGGCATTGTCCCGATGGAGGCAACAGCAGCCGAGCACCAAGGCTTTGTGCACAGGGGGACAAAGGCTGTTGTGTCTCCAGCATGACAATAAGCAACGCAGACGGTGGTAGCGTCAGCGCCCTGCCAGCTGCTTTCAAAGGGCCGTTCTCCTCCCTGTGGATGGGCCCACAGCTCCCTGCCAGCTTCACCCAGTTCTGCCGAAACAGAGGCTGGCACCTCCATTCCCAGCCAATCTCACGAGAAATCCATCAAATGCAGTCTCCAGTCATGCCAGGGTGAGGATGATGGTTGGTGAAGCCCTTGCAGGCAGGAGCTCTCCCTCGGTACCGTGATTTTCAGTGGTGCAGGAGCTGGACAGCCCATGCATGCAACTGCACCTGGAATCACAGAATTGTTTAGGTTGGAAAAGACCTCTAAGATCATCTAGTCCAACTTTGGGATGTTCCCCAGCAGGAAAGTGGGAACTGCATGAGGAAAAGACCATCTCTGTTCTTTGGCTAAAGCTGTTCCTTGCAATAAGGTAGCACGAAGCTCATGAGGTATAAAAGGCCCCAGATGCAGGGTCTGTGTGGTCCCTTAGAAATGCAAACATAAATCCTGTGTTGTTTTTTGACACTTGTATGTGCATTGGGAATTGTTTCGCTGTTTACTTCTTGCTGAGCAGTAGAAACAGACTCAGCTACCTGTTTTTTTCTGGATTACACTGCAGGTAGCCTGCAGGCACACAATGCGACAATTATGTAGTTAAACCTGCTTGATGCGAAAGGTGAGCCCTAGAAGCTGTACAGGATATGAAAACTAAACCAAACCAGTCCACAGCAGCAAGAAGCTTGCTTGTGTTTTTCTTTCAAGTGATGCTGTACCTGGGGGACGTCATGGCTTGGCTGGGGCCCCAGGAGCCACCACACATCTGGATTTATCCAGCCCAGGTCACGTTCCCAGTGCTGGATAAGAAGGGACCTGTGGTGGCAGGAATACCCAGGTTTCACTGACTCTGCCTTGCAGGACATCCCTGTGCTGGTTCCTGGGGCCAAAACCTACAGCAAGGTGACCCCAAGTGATGAGTCCCAGATGGAGACCCTGTCCCAAGCTTCCTCATGGTGACGCTTTCAGGCAGCAGCTGGGATGTGCAGACCCAGTTCCTACATCTGCAGGAATGGCCACCTGAACACTTTCCCCTTCCCACCCTGCAGGTGCTTGGCCTCCTGGTGTGGACTCTCATTGCCAACACGACCTACCACCTCCACGCGGCGTACGGCTGGGTGATGTTTGTGTCTATCTTCTTCTGGATAGCAACAGTCCTCCTCTTCATAACCTACCTCCTGCAGCTTCCTCTGAAGTTCTACGTGATCCCCTGGCCCCTCGTGGTATGTAACTGAGCATGAGCAAGGGGCATGCCCCCTGGGAAACGCCTCAGGACAGCCCCAACCCAACCTTTTGCAAGAGGTTGTTGCTTTTGACCTTTTGCTTTTTAAGCTTTTGGAAGTGCCTCCAAGCGCAGGCTGCTGGGTGTAAGGCAGAGCGCAGACCTCACCGCCTCTTCTTTGCCTTCCCCAGTTGATGATCTTCAACGCTACAGCAACCGTTCTGTACATCACCGCCTTCATAACGTGCTCCGCAGCTGTCCAGCCTACCTCGTGGCGCCAGTGGGATTACAACAGAAGAGCCGCAGCGTCCGTAAGTACAAGCACGCCGGCGAGGGCTGAGGTGCTTAAGTCACCGCGTTCACACGTCACTGTGCTCCTCTTCCAGTTCTTCGCCTGCCTCGTGATGCTCGCGTACGGGGTGAGCACCTTCCTCAGCTTCCGTGCCTGGAAAGGACTCGGCAGCAACGCGGCCACCAGCCAAGTGACCAACCACGCGTGAAGAGCAGCGTGCACCCGGGCAGGGTGGCTCAGTGCAGCATGTCACCGAGCCACTCGTGCCACCAGGGCTTCTTCTGGGCAGTGGTGGCAGCAGCCAGTGCTGCTGGCCCACACGCCAGGGTCCTGTGGAAGCTGTTCTGTGGTCTCAGGTGATGCTTCTAGCTGATGTGTCCACAGCGCAGACCCACCACGACTGGTGCCATCACTGGAAGCCTCGCCAGGAGGCCGAGGGTTCACCGGAGGCTGAAGCTCCTGTGTGTCCTTGGGACTTGTTCCTGCCCTCACACACCCCAGAGGAACCTGATCCTCACTGGAGCAGCGCTGCTGAGGGGATTCATTTGGCAGACTCTAGTACCAGAACTCACTAAAGCAAGCGCGGGTTCCTGTCTCTGGTCATTTGCAGCCACAGTGTAAATAAGTGCAATTAACTTGTATCGATGGGGGCAGAGCTAAGCCAAGGAAGAAGTCTAAACTATTACTGTATTGATTTAAAAAAAAATGAAGCAGAAATTTTATGCTTTAAATAAAAATCTGAAATCCAACATTTGAGTTTGTCAAGAAAATAAATCTCTTTTTATGAGAAAGAAGATGGCAGGTGCATCCACAGAATGGGCAGTGGAGATTTCACTGGCCCAGAAGACCACCATTTCCTAGCGTGTACAGGCATTACAACCCAGCCCACAGGGAGAAGGCACAAAGTCCACGGTGTTCACGTTGCTTTGCTGCATGCACGTACCATGAGCACAAGAACACGAGGAGTGCAAAGGCTTTGCTGTGCTCCCTCCTGTACACACAAAGGTCTCGGTGCTGCACAAGGCACACAGTTAATCTTTCCACCACTTCCCTTTCAGAATTTGCATTAACAAGGCAGTTATGTCTGTTAGCTACAGGTGGTCTTCAAAAAGCTAAATGAAGGCTGCAAATGCTCTGGGAGCAAACACAAGGTCAGAGCCTTAAGAGTAGGCTGACCCATACCTGAACACAGAACCATGCCGCGCTGAAGTTCAGCTGTAGTATCTTGGAGACGGGCTGGCACTTGTCAGAACTAGAGCTGATGATCAGCCAGACACAGCAACATTTTCTTTCGCATCCTTCTGCTACAAGCTAGTAGAAACAGATGAAATAAATTTCATCTATTTACAGAAGGCTGTCACATAGTGAGCTATGCTGCAAACGTACCACACACCCTGTTTGCATGGATCTAATTTTAACTGGTCTACAGAGGTAGGCTCAGGAAATTTTGCTACATTAATGAAAGGCAGGAATCTAAAAGGGATTGAATAAACTGCATTAGCCTCTGACAGGTCTGCTTTAATTTGCTGTGGAAGAAGAGTGGGGTAAATGAAGCGTCAGGTTTTACCAGCTATAAATACATGTTAAAAAAAATCAGTGAGAAAATTAGCATCTTTATGAATTTTTGTGACAAAGTTAAAACTCTTCAAAAGTAAAGTCAGACTTGCACACAGATAGTCCATCATATATAGAAATTTAATCTCTTAAAAAAGACCCTCTGCCTGATGGAAAACACATCGAGGCAGAGACCAGTCATGGAAGCGTCACAGAGAGATGAGAAATACAGAGTATATTCTTCACATGTAGAAGAGCAGTATAGAAGCAGAAAGGATTTGGTCTGAATGGCTCCACTCAAACTGGGGGAGTTTTGTTGCAAACTTTTGTGGTGAAGACTGTGGTCTAAAATTGAAAAAGGAGCAACAACAAAAAATTTCATTATGAGTTGTTATCGATAGACCCGAATACCTACAAACAGCATGAATATTTGGTTGTGAAAAACCTTCATAATACAGAAAGTTTAACTACACCCCCACCTCACAACTAAGCTGGTAAAGCTATTTTAACATGCTACTTATGTTACTTCACAAAATAAATTAATCTGAAAATGCTAAATTGTGAATTGGTGAGTTAAGAAAGCAGAATAGTACAGATTTATCAGGAGCAAGAAATGAAGCACCACACTTTTGTGAAATGGTGAATAGTGACTTTGGTATACAGTTAACACTGAGACAAGTTCCCGTCAATATATGAATTCAACCATGACAATTACAAGAGAACTTGCTTAAAATACAACAAACTCCCTCCAATAAGGAACTGTCTGAGGTACTCATTCAGACTGCTGTTATTTTACATAATCATCTAGAGCAATTGTAACAGAAAAAGAAGAAAAAATATCTCCCGTAAAACATGTCAGGAACATGTTTAGTTTTAGTTGCATTTTTAGTTTTAGTACCATTGAAATGTCTGGCAGAGGTCAACAGGATTTCATCTCATTTGTTCTGGTAGACATCCTGTCCACAAACAAGAACTGGTAATGGCCCGGCCATAGTTTAGCTCCATCTAGGTTCTCATCAGGCAACAGCTGCCAACCAGCACCTTCACCACTGCGGCAGTGCATCTCCCCTGTGGCATCGGTCATGCACTCCATGTTTCTATCTACTCTCATGCTTTTAAAGATGGACTTGCTTTGCCTGAGCATGTCATTAATCTGCTGCTTAATGTGTCTGAACAGCGTAAGAACAGCAGCTCATTGTAGCTCCAAATACATTTTAATTCCAAGCGCCATCGGAGATGCAGCTGGGATTTTGTGACAGGCTTAAGGCTACAGCTCCACTAGCAAACAACTCATCTATTTTTCAACTCATGTTGAAAAATGTGTTGCTTTGTTAATGTTGCCAACAGTTCAAGAGCAAACGCATGCATTTGCATCAAACGCTGTAAATGACATGATGGTAAACATGGCTGTGCCCAATCTACCATCATGCTTACAGTACTAGAACGAACACAGCTCTGCCACTGCCAAACAGAAGGTAAGAAACTACAGACATAGGCCAGATTTGGATTTTTCATGGTTATTTTTTCAGTGTAGAACAGCTGGGGCCTGAACAAAAGTGAACCAGAGAACTTCAAAAATTAAGGATGAGACTTTAGCCAAAGAGCACAGATTTGCACACTAGCACATCAATTCTCACAGAGCAGAGAGGCTGTCTCATGCTGGAACATCTACATACTAAAACATATTCCTCTGCTAGAAAGCTGTAGCACGCAAGATCATATAAAGTTTAAAAAAAAAAGGCATTGACAAGGAGAAACTCAGCATTACGTATTTGCATTTGTCCTTTCAAGAGCTGGACAGACACACTGCCTTCTTGGTTCTGAGAAGTTCTGCCTTCTGGGAAGATGATTAAGATGTCAACCCATAAAACACACGTACAGCCCTATCTATTGTCCTCAGTGTGCTGAGCTTCTCACTGTGTGCAACAATTAGAACGGCACACAAATACTATGTGCTTATTAAAAATAATTACAGGGGTAAGGTTGAAATTTTCTTCTGTGGTTATTGAATACCAACGTGTTTCTAGGATCAGGTATGTGACAGCAGAGACTGGAGGATGAAAGAGTTTTCATCGTGTAACAGCACCTTGATTCTTGTGACCTTTAGTGTTTTAATGTCCAAATGAAGGCAGCAGCACTCATCTGGAAAAGGAAAGTAGTGCATGAACTGTTCTAGGAGGAGGATATTGATGATTTGTTTAATGATGTCACCACTAATCCGCTGCTTAAATCCAGACTTCGACCTTCTTTTTCCTATAAAAATAAGAGAAAAAGAAATCCTTGACTCAGTGCTGCATTGGAATAATCAGGCTTTTAAATTCAAAAGATAAAATGAGAAATTCATATTCTGCCTGTTAAATCAATATAAAATTACGTTACCTGAGCATCTATGACTGCATGCAGCTTGCTGTGAGACTTGAAAAATTCTTATCAGAGCATTTTTTTCCTATTCATATCTGTTTTTTCCTGTCCATATCCAAAATTCAGCATAAGATTGTGCAAGAAAACCTGGAGTAAGTACTTTTGCATCATTTTGCCAGCTGTATGTCAGCTCAAAGCAGCATCTTGCTTACATCTGGTTAAGAATACCCAGCCAGCAGATTTACACAGTGCTTGAGAAACTAGTGAAATCTAGCTTCTGTGAGTTTGCCTCTCAGGTGTCTCCAAAAGCACAAATCCCAACTGAAACTACTCCTGCTGCTGAGACACAGAACGTCTCCTCAACCTGCTTCCATTTTTGCAAAACTTGAAGGGGTGAGGGGAGGAAAAAGACAATGAGACAGCTCTGACAACAACTTTGACTCTTTTGCTCCTTTGTCAAATGTGACTGGAGAGTACTTGCATGTATTTCATTGCCTTAGGAAAGAGCTCACACAAAATCCTTTAATATTTTTCTTTGGTCAGCTGTTTCTCCAGCCCAGCCAGAGAGGAGAAACACATTTGGAATAAGTTTAGAAAGCTAACTTTGGAGTGTCTGGAAAAAATTAATACCACAAAACACCTGAGCATTTGGGGCTGGCCAGGACCTCAGTCACCCGGTCCAACTCCCTGCTCAAGTGAGGCCACCTAGAGCACACTGTCCAGGATCATGTCTAGCCAGCCTCTGAATATCTCCAAGGACAGAGACTCCACAACTTCTTTGGGTAACTTGTGTCAGTGCTCGTTCATCCTCACAATAAAAAAGCATTTCTTTATGTTCAGATGGAAATCAGCCTTCAAAGATGCAAAAGCATGAGTTTCTCCACATATCAACTTAATCCATGTTTTGTAGAAGTTATTAAATGTGCAGTTTGAGTTCAATAGCCACTCAGTTATTTTCCTTTCGATCCTGTATAACCGTTGAATAAATGCTGTTTCCTACTTTAGTAGGAGTGCCTTCAGTACTCTCAGGCAGAGCTATACAAAAACGACAGCCGTTAAACCAATAAAAATAAACAATGTGACATACTTACAGCTCTGTAATCCAAGAACATTTCTTTGAAAGCCAGGAAGTCAGTAAATGTGAGAAGCATGTCAAATATATCACCTGCCATTTCGTCTTTGTGCTGTCTATAAATGGAAGAAGTTGGGGAATTAGAAAATGGTCTGTGAAATAAATTCTTATTTTAAAATAGAGATTAGAAGTGCTACCAGGACAAGTAGAACAGTATCAACATTTAAATAAGAATATTATAGGCCTCTCATAAAGCAAAATTCTAGACAAATATTACCGTGTAGTATTTCCAAACCAAATGCATTAATATATTTATCTAAATACAAGATGTAAGGGTATCAAACCAGTCTAGGAAACCAGACAAAGAACATGACCTGTAAGTCAAAAGAACTAATATTCAACTAGCATTTATTTTATTCAAAACTAGAAAAATAATATAAGTTGTCCTTTTGATAGTTTCATAAACAACTACTAGTAAAATAATTGATTTAATTAGAAGAGGGTATAGCCCACAGAGACAGAGAGAATAACAACAATACAGCAGGGAGGTGGGCAATGTGAAAGTCTGTTTTTAAAGTTCTAAGTAAAAGAAGGTTTGGATAAGGGTGTTTTTTGTTTGTTTGTTTTTTGTTTTGTTTTGTTTTTGTTGCAGCTGTTATTGTTGACGGTGGTTTTTTTTTAGTCTACCAGTGGTCTGTAGAAAAAAAATATAGAAAAAAAAACGTATTTGGTATTCTCATACTGATTTCTAGTCTTATCCCTTAAAACCCAACATATTTCAGCATGATAGCTCTAAAATTTAGAATAGCAAAACATGCTGGAAACAAGGAAAGTGGTCAGTCAGTAGCACTGCATACATGAACTGTATTACTACTACCACTAAGAAGGAACCTCCTTCTCAAGGAAGAACTGTCAAACCTAAGTTTTAATCTAGACAGGAAAAAAAAAAAAGAGAGAGAGAGAGATGTATATAATCCACACCCAAGAAAAATCAAAGCAGAAGACTTACTGCAATGACATTGTGAAAGCTGTCATATTAAAACCAGGAATCCGATCAAGTAGTTTTTCTTCAATGTATTTCTCTATTAATGAGATCTAAAAAATATAAATAATACACACCCCAATATACTAAATAATTCAACTGGAAAAGAGTAAACTTTGTAATGCACACTTAAAACATGTTGTTTACTACAGCAATAGACTTCTATTCAAGAATTAGAGATGTTTTGATGAAAGTTTTGTAAACTTTCATGTGGAACAAAGAGAAAAAGAACCTAAGGCTCCAGAAAGAATCTTTTTGGATCACAAATCCTGACAGTGCTCGAAAAAAGAGACAGAGGGCGGTTAGTAGGCTTTGCTCCATGTAAACCCAATATTTTATAAAGGGGGGAAACAAGACCTGACACTCTCCTTAGAAGAATAACAAAAAAGCAATACGTGCAAAGAATAGGAAAAAGTATCTTACATATTCATTAAAAATAGAAGTATAGATGAGCTTGTTTTCTTCTGAGTCATCAAACTCCTGGTAGTGCTTCTCCATAAAAGTCCTCTGTATTAACTGGAAATCATCATCTGGACCACAACAAAAAGACATCATACAGTTACGAGTTTAGTCATTCTTTTTCTAACACAAACCCCACATTCACCAGTCCCATGTTTCCCTGAGACAACGAGAGAGCCCTGCACATGTGCAGTTACTCACACCAGTACCACAGCTGCTGCTGAGCCAGTGTCTGACCCATCTGTGGTAAGAGAGAGGCTGCTGATAAGAGAGAGCAGCAATAATACTTCAGTGAAGGGAGCCACATCACCGTGGCAGCAGCACATTAGCCCATGTTTTGGCAGCAAATGACACAGGACAAACATGTCCACCTAGCAAGATCCACCATCACTCCTTGTAAGTTTCATTTCCACTCAGTCTTAAAATAGGAAGACTTTTTTCTGTTTTGTTAATAAGGTTATTTACATGCAACCACCTTTAGTTCAGGATTTTGAGTCATCAAAAACTTGTATTTTTTATAAAATGAATACCTCTTCCCCTACAAAAATTCACTGTATTTTCCTTTGAATGCAAGGAGCACCAGGGAAACTCCCAGATTTATTTTCAATTACTGAAGAATTTTTTTCTAGATGTGGACATGAGCTTGGCAGGCTACCACCAAATTCAACAGAAGAGGAACAAGCATCAAATTTACACAAAATACACCAGAATCAGCTATCTAAACCCTATCACATTCAATATGATTTGTTATCATTTCTTCAGATTCAATTGTATTGCCAGGCAAACTGAGGCTGCAGAAACTACAATCGCTCTGTGAAGAATTTGGGCAAGAAATATTATATACTGCTCTTATGAAGCAGCCAGCAGTTGATCAGCATAAACTCTCTCGGCATCCTCAGCTTCCTAGCACACTTCCTAGTTTTTGGTCAAAACTACAGTCCTGAGAATTTAGGACTTTTCATTGCCTAAGCTCACATGGTGAGACTGGCACCACTCAACATTCCTCCTGCCAACAGGTACTGCCACGTTACAGGTGCACACGTACATGGAAGTTACGTGAAACAAAATCAGCTCAGAAAGTTAGTCTTCAAAAGGGAAAAGTGGTAAAACATGATGACACCCATCTTCACTTACAGAACACCTACGGTTGCAGAAGGCAGCAGTACCAGGTGCCGGGTACTACAGCACCAAGCTACTGATCTTGAGAAGAAAGGAAGAAAGTTGCCCTAAAGGAGGCAGGGGCTATTTTGGCTCCCTAAGTCTGGCTACCAGATGAGCAGATTGCTGCATTTTTAGCACCCATTTTGTTGTCTGTAACTGCTTGAAGAGCTTACCCATTATAATATCCTCCAGATTCCCAACAACTGCATCAAACTCCGCATCAGAAGGGGAGGAGCTGAAAGCAGAGAAAGGCCGTATTGCATAAGCGTATACTCTAATATATAAGTAATAATTATAACAGCAAATTAAGTATTATCCATCCCACAAATCCAGGCTGCTACCACAAGCTTTACTTCTGCTCTTTTCCCTGCCTAACTCTACGTGGTGATGATGGAACTCTAGGCACTCTAGAGAATGTTTTGCAATACTTGGTCTTCTAGAACCATTTAATATGTACAAGTATTATATCATGGAAGACACTTCAACATTTTTCTTATGCAAGAAACATCTCTCCGTGCTACAAATAAAGGGCACAATCTCATAAGGCCCTTCTGTTACGAGCAAGTGTTAAACACTGGTATGGATCTAAAGTCATCCAGCGAAAAAGCCTTTATTACCAGCATTTCAGTACCCCAGATCTCTCTGCTTATTTTATTGTTATTGTGCAGCTTGCTCAGACACATCAGGTAATCCACGGAATTTCCTTGGCATCGCATTCAGAACTCATCTTTAGTGGACTAAACTCTCCCTACACTCTGCAGCAGATGAATGTTTTTTCTGACATATCACCCCACAGGACATTTGTCTTCAAGAAAAAAGTTATCTTTGATCAGCGTAAGTACCATTTAAATTAATTTTAATTTTGTCTTTATTATCTCTCAAATATTTCATTAATAAATCAGAGCAGACCACTCAGACCAAGTTTTCAGACTAATTTTTAAAAACCTCATTATTTTGCTGTTGAACAACAGTCAGCGAAATGAATCCAAGAGCAGTTTAACTGCCTAGCCACAGGGCTCATTCTGACCAGGCAAAATGTTTGAATGAGTCTGATCACCAGGTGATGTTCTAGCAACGTTTGCGATCTGTTAAACCCTGAAGAGCAGAAGCCCGGCGAATGGAAAAGCATGCTCCTCCACCAGAGGGCACGCCACTACCAAAAGAGTTTACACAAAGCAGCCACAGCATTACATACTCGTACCTAAGCATCATGTTCAGACAACAGGGGTTATCGCTTGCCATTTATGTGTAAAGATAGGAGACTTTGCAATGGATAATTTATTATTATTATTTTCTCCTGCAAATAAGCACTACCATCATTTTTATAGCTTAGATTTTATAGCTTATTCTATTAATTTAAGCTGCAGTTTCAGTTTGTGAATTTTAACTGTTCCAAAACAGCAGCGACTGCATCTCCCTACACAACACACCTACATCTGCACAGCAAATACATGCTCACAAACCTTGTCACATCTGGGCCAGCACAACCTCTGTTGCTGACGTGTGAGCAAGGGAAAGCGTGGCCTTTTAGTCCACAGGGTTTGACAAATGAACCAAATCTGTGAACTTGAGTGACAGAGGCATAGGCACACACTCCCTTCTCCCACAGGCTTTAGGAGAAAAGTTGGCCAGACAGATGTGGGGCAAAGCAGCATCTTAGAATCTACCACAGTAAAATTTGGTTGAGATCCTGTAGAAGCATCTAAGAGGCACATTCAAACACACAGAAGTACTGTCTTGTTAAAATCTGTGAAATAAGACAATATATGGACTTGAAAAGGAATGAGAAATTATGAATTTAAAGAGAAGGCAGAGAACAGTTTTCAGCCTTATTTTTTGGCATTTGTTGGGATCACGCAGCAAGGTCTGTCTGGTTCTGCACTCACTGAGCTCTATTTGTTTGCTCTTCATCTAAACTCTGAACTTTTCCCTCCTGGGGCTTTGCATTGTTCTGTGTCCACGTTCTCCTACGAGGCAGTACCTGCTAATGACTGCGGTGTCAATTAATTCTCGTAATCACATTCCAATTACGATACTTTAACTAGGAAATAGTTTATTGAAAATCTGTACAGAACATAGCATACTTACATGGCTACACCGAAGTCTTCCTCATCCGAAGCCTCCATCATTACTGCATAACCTATTAGATGGAGGAGAGACAATCCGCTGCGCTGCTGCTGTCAGTGGTCGCTCCTTATTTTCAGAGGAAGAGCTAAAGAACAATACGCAACGTAGCATTAATAAAAACTCAATCTTTAAATTACCACAAGATTTTTCAAACAACAAACCAGCAGAAAACCTTTAATCTCTAGATGCGGGAATGTCAAAAGCTTCAAGTTTTCCCCGAATTATCGCTGCTGCTTTTCTGCAATAACCCAAATTCTCCAGGAACTTTCTCCCTCTGGCCCTCAGGCGAGCTCCGGGCGGTGCGAGGGCCCTGCGCGTCCCCTCGGGCCAGCCCAGCCCTCAGCCCCCGGCCCTGCGCCCCTCAGAGCCCCTCAGAGCCCGGCCGGGCCCGCGCCTCCCGCCCGCTGCCCGCCTCCATCCCCCCGGCCCGGCCCGGCCGTTACCATGGCAACGCTTCCTTCCGCCCGCGCCTCAGCCAATCGCGGAGCGGAGGCGGCGGCGGAGGGCCCGCCCCTCGCGAGATTAGCCAATGGGAGAGCGCGGGCGGCGGGGGCCGTTCCCGCCGCTGCCTCCCCGCGGGGCCGGGCCATGGCGGTGGGGGGGGCTGGGAGGGGGGGAAGCTCCAGTCAGGGCCCCGAGCGGAGCCTGGTTGGGGGCGGCCGCCCCCTGCCCGCTGCCTCCTCGCAGCCCCGAGAGGCGAAAGAAGCGAAGGCTGGGCGGTCTTACAGACGTTTTATTTGCGAACGCACAACTCGCTACAGCTCACGTCTCCCTTCTGGGGCTGCTCGCGCTTCCTGCCCTTTAAAGAAGCCTTTAGGGACCCCTTTAGGGACCCTGCCCACAAGCAGCAGCTGCTGTTAAGCAGGAGGCCCGGGCACTTCTGAACATTTTACTCAGTTAATCCTCACCAGGGAAACCAAAGGGCTGAGGTTCCTGGCACCCATTAAGGCAGAGTTCAGAAGGGGGGGGGGTAGCTTTGTGCCTAGTGTGGCATTTGGAAGCATTTAAAATTTCATTTTCCATGGATCTGGAATTCAAAGAGCCTTTTGGCAGTGACTGTCTTCACAAGTTTGCCTATTGCGAAGGGACTCAGCCCTAATTGGAAAAGTAGAGAACACCAGGACATGATCAAGTAGTCAGGGAGGAAAGGAAGGCCCCCAGGCATAGGTTTGCCCTTCTGACTTTAATCAACAGGGGCTTCCACTGTGAGAAAGAATCCATGTTTTAGAAAACAACAACAACAACAAAAACAAACAAACAAAAAAACCAACCGAATAATAAAAAGCAAGAATTAGCCTGCATTTGGAAAAAAAATCAGTAAGAAAAGGATATCGATAATTTTCCTAATTAACACAGTTGAGGCTCTGGGGACTTCTCCCTCTCCTTCCTCTGGCAGAAACTCAGCACCCTGAAGTTAACAAAGGCAGAATGTTAAAGGAGCTGCTATACAGCTTAACTGGGGGAGCTGCATGGCATGCAGTGCTCTCAGTTTCTATTTAGGTCAGTAGGAAGCAACGGTACTCAGCGTAAGGAGTAGGCCTCAGCTTTGCTTTGTTAGTACTTGATGGTAAAGATAAAAAGATTTTAAAAATAAAATACATCCCAGCATGAGAATTCATTACAGTAATCTCTGCTATTGAATCACTGCCAAGAAGGGAGACGTTTCTGGTGTAAACTGTGTGTGAATGAATAGAGTTCTACAATATATATCCAAATCATTTTCAAAAAAAAAAAAACCAACAAAAAAAACAACCTGTACAAGCCTTGTAAGAGTCTCATAGCCTCAGTTGGTGCAAAATAAGTATAATTCCACTGACTTTTGTGCTACTTCACCAACACTAGGTGCGAACCCTGATTCCTCATCGAAACGAAATAAAACAGTCAAAAGCTGCCTGCTGAAATACATCCTTAACATACAAATGTCACAAATGTATAATTGAAGTAGAGCAGAGATCCCCCCCATATGATCCCTACCAAAAATACAAAGCATGGCCCCAAACCTGATCAGAACAGGACTGACACATGGCAATCAAGGTGCATTTTCAGAGTTACAAAGTAAGAATGAACTTGCTCTCCAAGTAACATTTTTCTCCTCACATAAACTGGCTCAGAATTCTTCTCCAATCCTTTAAGATAGCTCAATATTTCCAAAGTGAACATAACTTTCAAAAACAATACTGATTAGAAAAGATGTTTGCAGATACCTTAAAAAATACCCAGAATATCAAATTAATTCCAGTCCAGCATTATAATTAGTTAATAATAGCTCCTGAAAATTATATCCTCACAAAAAAATGTGGGTATTGAAGTTAAAATCATCAGAAATATTATGTACTTGAAAATACCACCAATCTTTTAACAGTTAAAAACAAATCAGAACTTTCTTTGGAATCACCGAGTTATTAAAATGTGAATTTCTTTATAGTCTCCACACTGTCCTTTCAAACCAGTCTGTGTACAGATCAAGTCTTTGAGCAGTTTAATATCCACTGTTGGAAAATACAGAGTCTCTGACCAGCAGGAGGCTACATTAAACAAGAAACATTGGCATTCTTTTTTTGTACTGACTTCTGCCAAAAATAGAGACTTTCAAGCACAAGACAGAATGGCCCTGCTTTAGGAGATGCTTTCTCGTATTTCTAAAATGCATTGTATTTGTACTTCCAGTGCAAATTTTTTCAGCACTTGTGACAGGCGAAAAGGAAAGGGGGTGGAAGAGAGATGCTCTCCTATGCTTTTCCTTGGAGTAACCAATAGCCGTAACACACTGAACTACCAGCTTTCCTTACTGTTGAAACCAGTTCACATTGCTGGCAACCTGAAATAGCTTATTAAAAAGATTTCATTTTTAAGATAAACAGATTACACTTTAGCATGAAATCTGGCCGTGGCTATGGTTCTATGTGCGTAAAGATTGGTTAGAGATGCTTTCCCCTTTCGGTATTGGTTGGAGTCGATTAAAAACAAGTCTGTGGTATTTCTCCACGTGTCATGAAATGTGAGAGATCTGTCTGACTCGGGTTTGTATCTCCTGTCGACACAAAGGGCAGGTCTCCAGTTGCAAGGCACACTCCATGCACAGGTCACTAGAGGAGAAAGAAAAACAGTTAAAGCCTGTATTCACAATGTGAAAAACTTTAAAAAAAAAAAATCCAAGCATTAAGTAGTTTCTTTAGCCTGCTAGAAAAGCAATCAAGATAAGTGTTTCAGTGTAGGGATTAGGAATTGCAAATCTGGTGTTGTGGATCCACAGGCTTTGAGAAGAGGTCCTGCTGCTCCGTATCTTACAGACCTAAAACTGCATCTGCAGTTGGTGAGGATTACACTTGAACACTTTTGTTCATCTCAACATTTGCTTTGGTTTGGAGAATAAGAGTTCCAGAGCCTGCATGAATCTGTCTCAACTTCTGGCTGAGGCACACTGAACATGTCTGTTCTTTTTAAATTTTGTGGCATCCAGACTGGAAGACCCATGGCAAAACTGCTCCCATGAGAGCTCTAAAAACACTACAGGAGTGGATTTTGTTGGATTAACTTCCCAGTTAGGCCTGCTATGGTACTCCTCATATTGCTGCCCCATTTTTATCTTTTAAAAAGGTATTTGTGACTTGAGACAATCCATTTATTGAATGTTTAATGAACATTTGCATACATGAGTTTTTTGCTCCCTGCACATGATCTGGATCTTGTAGCACTAGTACTAAGCCAGTACTCAGCAAATCCCTTGAGATCAAGGAATTGGCTACACTCTGCTTATGTCCCTTATGCCTATGTCCCTTGCCCAAGGACAGCATATGCGCATAGCCACAGCACTTCTCTAACCCCAGACACACACAGCTGGGGTGTAAACCTGTTTGGGGACAGGGTGGAGAAGACAGACAGTAAATCTGCGTTTAACTGCCATCAGTCACATCCTTAAAGGGATGAGTTATTTCCTTTATGCTCGAGAGTAAATCTAGATAAGCAGGGACTGTATCTAATCTCGCTTAAGCTGCATATCAACAACATTTTTTTTTTTTTTTTTAAATGTTTTACCTGTGTCCACACGGCCTGAGTTCTGTGTCTGCTACCTCATCACAGCAAAGTGTGCAGCAGTTCTCTCTGATACTCACTTGCTTCAACAAAGCCAGGCGCCTGTGTCTGCAGAAATAACCACAACCCCCCCAATTAGTTTTACTCAAAAATGACAGATTCATAACAATTCTGAGCATTGCACCAAGACCAACACAACACTTACCTGCACTACTCAACACTAGCACTGATAAACAACAAAAACTATTCACAAAAGAAACTTAACACAGATGTTCAGGACAGTCTGACTCCCTGTTCTGGTCTGTCAGAAAGCGACAGATTAGATTACTGTTCTTGTTCTCAAGAACGGTTCCATAAAGCTGTTTACTATCTGTATTTTAAAGAGTACAGATGAGGAAAATAACACCTACGTGTATGTATCAGTGAAGCTTGGAAACCCTGTAATGCTGCAACACAGTTTAGAAAAATACAAATGAGAAAACCAAAAACCCAGTGTGGCAACTGCCACAACGGAAGATGTGACATGCACTCCATTCTCTCCAGCATTTATGTTATACAAAGGAGGCCCTGAATAGTTCAGGTATACAAGCTGTATATATGTATATTCATTGTGTATTTATATGTAAATATATAAAATATGAACATATATAAATATCATATATATGATATACACATACATATGAGTGTATGTGTAAAAAAAATCATGCTTGTTCTTACGAGGAATGTAAATTTTTGTCAAGTGTGTTTAAAGAAGAAAGAAGTCCACATGACATTGCTCTAGTATCACTTTTTGGCCAGAAACTGGTAGGAATCCTGCCTTTGCTGAAATATGATATTTCAGATTTCAAATGCATGCTAATCAAAACTGGTTAGTGGCAGGGTGAAGCGTCTAGCCCAGACTGCGTCCTGACATTAACAGCATTAAATCCAATATAACTCTATAAGAGTTCGTTAATTCCTATGTTGGATAACTGCGGCCAATTTGGCCCTTGCTTTTTTCCTATCCATTTTAAGATCAAAGCAATCTTGTAATTTATGATTAGCTTATAGCTTCCAAACAGTTTAGATTGTGTAAGCTAAGATCATCTCCTCCATACAAAGACCGTCCAAATTTGAATGGAGTCTTTCAGTGCTATCACATGTAGTACTGAAATAAGCTTCAATTCAAGAAGCAAAATTTCTCCAGTCAGAACTCAACAGGAAGCCAGTTTCTCCTCGTTTCTCTACTTGTCAAAGATGAGTTCTTGCAGCTATTGCTGAAACACCGTGAGACCAGTGCCAAGGTGACACTGGTGTCAATCACACCTGATCATCAGCTCCTTACAGCACACACTAAAAACTACAAAACCCCTCATCTAGAGCATGATACTATGTACTGTGAGCAAAGGGCTGATCAAGAATGT